GCGTACTACACTTGATTATAATTCCTAGGCTCCCTGTGGTGGCATGTTAGCGATGATAATCAAGGGAAAACTTCACCCAATTGAGCCGCATCACATATCATTTGATATTCGGTTAATCATTTATATTCACGTATTAATTTTATACCGCTCGCAAATCTCTGGATATAACCAACATTTAATCAATATTTTAGTTAACATAATACAGAATCACGGGCCTTAAGATTACCGTTATCGCAGTGTTAATAATTCTCAACTTTTAAAACATACTAGTAATCCCGTGAAACGAGATGCATTGTGGGGATTGTGTTATGAGCGTCACTGACAAATAATACATGGAATTGTTTGTATATTAAAGATTGAGATGTTGACGTCCATTGCAATATACACATTCATTTGCTTTACAGACCGTGAACCGTGCAAGTATTATGGGAAACAACGTACTAGGCCATTTTATGCATGGCAAGAAGTTCTCACTATAAATTTGCCAACAGATTTAATTGTAATATTTTTTTTATCTAATTTATTATTTTAGCTAATTTGGCTAATCTGTAATTTGGCAAACTTTAAATAAAAGGTGTAAATTGTAGGCGTAATGTAGAGATCGGCAATATAAAAATAGTGAATAAAAACAAAATGAACAGAACCAAGTTACCACGATGTTATATAAAGACAGTTAAAAATCTTATGATGATGCCCACGGCCATACCACGTAGAATGCACCGGTTCTTGTCCGATCACCGAAGTTAAGCTGCGTCGGGCGTGGTTAGTACTTGCATGGGATTCCGGCTGGGAATACCACGTGCAGTAGGCTTTTTTTCCTTCGTGTTTTTGTTTGTTTTTTCTCATTGTTATACATCACATTCACCTTTAACCCAGATACATTGTCCATATATGACTATGACGTTATTTTTTGCCAACCGAAAGGCGTGTTACGTTGTCCATGAAATGAATGACCGATTTTGATGTTGATTAAGTTTTAAATTCACTGGGTTGCGCTGGTATGTTATATCTCAGACCATTGATAACTATTAATGGTCTGAGGTTGTATTCACTCGTATATTTGTATTCACTCGTATATTTGTACATTCACTGAGCTTTAATTTATCGCATTTAGCTATCATCAGTAAAAATAAAACCCAGCAAGTCATTAAACTAACACTTGTAGAGTGTACGAACCACATATACAAACCTATGAAAGCATTCTGAGTAGTGTTTGGAACATCCCTTTTTTAAGCGTCGACTCGGAAGCTGTGACTTTTTTAAAAATCGTGTTAAAATTTGCGGCATGTGGCCGCGTTAAAAATCCGAGTCGAGAGTCCACCATGATGGCGATAGTCGGAAATCACGTGAATAAAACGAGACCCAAGTCTTCATGATGTTATACAGACAAAACCTCTTTGCTAATGCATATTTTCAATGACTCAGAGATTGTTGTACATTCAGGATTGTGTTGACTCATGCTAAATAAAATGGCATGTAGTTATGTAAAAGTCGGGATAAATAATCTCGCCATTCAATTGGAATTGTCAGTACAAACAGAATGTACAGTGCATATGACGCATCGTTTCAGTAAGTAGCGCACTCGATCGACGAAGCGCTTAAATACGTCGACGTAGTTTTCATTTGCGGTCGACTGTCTCGAACAATTACGTTTGTTTGCTCTATTTGATTTGCTATATTCTGAATGACGAATCATCATTTTGACGTCATAGACTTATTGCTTCGTTAGAGGGCGCTATCACAATTTTTGCTTTTTATACATGAGTGACCAAACCAGTTCAAAAGGACTGTGATAGCATAATAAAATCAAACAGGAGGCCTTTCAATTACATTGCGATTATCGAAGTAGCCACTGTATGTAGTCGTGCGATCTGTGCGGATCATGGTCACTAACACACGTGAAGGGTCACTGGCCTTTCAGTTTGGTAGGGGTGTACGGCCGGGGAGTAAAACTCCAGGCTCCACGATAGACTGTTTTCACCTCAAAAACCATACCCCATTATAGACCGCATAGTAATTTTTTACATCCCATCGGAGACCAAATTGTTAGTAAATTTATTCAGTTATAGTTTGAATCTACTAATCACCCAATAAAAGTACTAAAATGTGCTCGGGTTAATACAGTACACGGAAATTTAAAAACAGTGCCCATCCTAGACAGGCAAACCTGATATTGGACCTAAAGGCAAGCAAAACTATACCCCATTCTAGATCAAACAGCTAAAAATTACGACCCCAAAGGGTGGCACATCCCCATAATGTGATTCGAAAATTGCTTATGAAAATTATTATCAAGTGAAATAATCTTGCTTGTTTCAATCTATTTAATGACAGTTTTTTTATTTCGAGTTTAGTGAAACTGTAGTGTTCGCATTGCATGGTTGCGACTAAATATCTTTTCCCTCGGTTCGATAGTATAGAGGGAACATACTGTCTTCAATGTTACGGTGACAGTAAATGATGAGATGGGTGGGGCAATCAGATAGGGAATAGCGGGAAGCAGTAGGAAGTTAGTCAGTCTAGTCAGCAACTCAGCAGCTCACAGATGTTCAAGTTCAATTACATCAAGTATTAATTTTAAAAGTTAATTTAGTTTTGCCCTTATGTGATAACAGTGTAGTCCGACACTGTCCCTGTACCATGTACTGCATTGCTTTCGGACACAGGTTTCCAGAGAATTTCCCGCAATATAAAGTATAGGGTTTTTACCTCTGGTTTTTCCTGGGTGGCGGACATAGGATAACGGGGAGATCACAACAAGTAACAGCCCACCCTGGTATAACGTATCATGTAATAATTTCTTTTTCTATCCACGTCTGTAAATAAAGCTGCCGCATCTCTGGCTCATCCATCATTATTGAATGAATGAAGTGTAATGGAATTTATTCAATGGTATAAGAGTATAGTGAAGACGTCGTAAGGAGTTATATGACGCCCTCAACGTCTTATTCTTATG